AAACACTGATAACCACTTAAAAAGTCGATAGATTTTTGAGGTCAACTCAATTAGTCACTGCCAAACAGCTTCTGATAATTTTCTTCCTACCCACCTAAAAAGTTTTAAGTTATAGAAATTGATAACATAAATATTTTTCTTCAAAATTAGATATTTAACTTATTATAACATGTTATTTATCATTTATTTTAAGTTAAAAATTAATGCTTTTACATTGAGTTACTTTAAATTATCTTTTAAGTAATATTTTACATAAATATTTTTATACCATCAGAATCTAAACTATTTATTGAATTAATAAGGGAAATATAGTATAGTGAGAGAAAAAAAGACAAAATAAAAAGAGGAAAACAATTTGGGGAAAGGATGATGACAGCTTTAGGCCCACCAAGTTTAGAAAAATATGCTGTGGGCCGAATCTGCTTATTCTGCCTCTGTTTTCTTGTAATTACGTTTTGGGCCCCATTTTATTACGAGCTCATTTACGTCTCTTTTCAGAACTACTTGTTGTACATTGGTGATTAGGACAATGTTGCCCCTTGTCCCTTGCGCTTCCGTAACACATTCCATCCGATGTTCGATATCCACATTGGAGCTTTGATGAGGATAACTAAGCTGACATGCCGGAGTTGGCTGCTGGCACAACAGGGTGGTGCCTTACCGCACCGCAGTCGGACGCGTGGTAGCGTTCGTGGTGCTTCAGGATTTCAATGTACTGCGTCCAAGATCAGAACAAGCTTGCCAGATTAATTCGCATTCGAGCTCATTAAAGGAGGAATCAATTCCTACTAGGACTCGAACCGAGATATGTGGTTAATGATGGAGGAAATAGAAATCATATCCATCATTAAAAATTGTTAGCTTTCAAAATATAAAAACTCAAAAGGATAGAAAAAACTTTTTAAAAAAATTCCGTAAATTTGGAGGATTAATTAAAAAAAAAAACGTAAACTTGGTGGACAAACCACACGAGGCATAAGATTGTCTTAAAATGATCGAGGATTTGTGGGCTAAATATGAGGGGGGTCATTGTACGGCTAAAATGAGATTTACTCGTCCCACTCACACGTGGGCTGGTCTCTCAAACTTTTTCCTGATTTTAATTCTTTTATGTACCCAATGTTGCATAAAACATTGTTAAGATTAATGGTTGGCCTTTCTTTTATCTTAGGTTTTTACTTAAGAAGAATAAAAGTTACTACTAGTATCATTTAAAGAGAGTCAAACAATCATATATTAGTACCATTATTCATATTTGTTGGCATGCGACGAGACTCGCAATCGACATTGGCGGAGCTAAAAATTTCAATAAGGAGATTCAAACTATAAAGAAGTAAATATACAAATAATTCAAGGAAATTCAACATTTATTATATATAGACAAACAATGATTTTAACCTATATATAGTATAATTTCTTTCCTTCTCATTCAATCTAGTTAGGCGTTGTCCGTGTAGGAACAAGGTCTAATCAATTTAAACAGAGAGAGTAAATCTTCAAACAACATTGAATTCACTTCCACATTCCGTTTAATCTAAAACATGTAGTCGGCTATTATATTAGTCAGAACCTGCTTGTTGGAAAAGAAAAAAAAAAAAAAACCTGCTTCAGTTCATGTAATTAGATGATCATAGTTTCCTAAATAGGTATATTGTAAACAAAGTAAATTTAAATAAATGTTTACTAAATATGTTCTGAATATGTGAAGCGCCAACATGTTTGGTGACTTATTCTCGAACTATTACGGTAAAGAAGCTAGCAACACACCATCAAAGACGGGGTGCTGATGTTAATTAAGATCTCTCCATCTTTGACCATATATCTTACTTCTCGATAAAAATAACATTTTACTTCCGACTGGACTTATTCAGTGCAAATTCATATTAGTGGGGCTAATGTCTCAGGTATTTAATACTTTCAGTATAGACAATACATACTTCATGTCTAAAATTATGTGTTTAGTTGAACTCGTAGCCGAAATACTACATCTACTTCTAGCAACACATGGATGAGGTATTGTGGATGATTGAGATCTCTTTACATTTAACCAGATGTCTTCCATTGAAGTTTTGAAAATGAAGATCTTCTTGGTAAAATGCATTTTACCTTTGAGTGGCTGGCCTATTTGATGCAAATCCAGATTAGTAGTAGCTAACATGTCACATATACCGAATGCCTAAAAAGTAAAGGATAAAAAAGAAGTACAACACACCCCCGGAGGAGACAAAGAAAGAGCATGATATACTGTAGCCATGGGCAGTACATTGGGCATAAGAAGCATGACTGAATGTCTTCTCATAAAAAAGCCGAGAACATCGGCGGTCTTCTCTTTGGTTGCTGCATTTTGTTTGGTCATTTCAGCATCTATTCTAACTGATATATATGCTCCCTCTATATATATTATATACTCTCTCCTTTCCTTTGTCAATATAATATTCCCTACACTTATCTAAACCTCTCTTTTCTCTAAAGTTCATCAACTTTATCAACTCTCAAATCAAATTATACTCCTCACTTTTCTTTTATTTTTTCTTGTGGGGAAATATATATATATATATAATGCTAATCGAATTTGATGTTTTAATGCTAAGTTATGCTTTGACTATATATATATAAACAGTGACACTAGGTAGTATTACAAAAAAAGATTTCATTTAATCATTTAAGAGACGGAGCCAGGATTTGAAACTTATGGGTTTGAGATTCTAAATCTTTTAAGTTACTGAGTTCTAAATTAATAATTTATACATGTTCAATGAATTTCTTAAGACAAATACATGGTTTGAACGAAAGTTACTGAGTTCGAACGAATTCGTAAGTTATACTCTCCCTCTGCCCCTGCACTTAATATACATTGACGTATACGTGTATTTTAACTTATAATTTGTACAGTGCATAGATTTGTTGTACTGGTGGCAAATGCAGCATAATAAGAGGATATAACAAGTTTAAAAATTAATAGAAACGCGTCGTTACAGATAATAAGGTACTCACTTTGTGTTAGGAACGATATCTTTTCGTGTCTTCCACTTAGCATTAATAAATTAATATACAAAAATCCTCCCTTAATCCATACTTAGTTTTTTAGTCATTCTTTCAAAAGGGCAATAAGAATATCTTTCTACCAACAAACAAAGCTACAAACAAAGAGCGTGTGTTGGGTACATAATTTTTTATTATGTATACATTATACCTATCACCATATTAACAAAAACAATAGAGATGTTTCTTGGAAAACCAAAAGCATCTTCAACTACCCAATCATTAGTATCATAAACTATACAAACTTCCCTTTTCTATTTTCCTTCTGCTATGGGTTTTATAATTAAAGAAATTGCAAAATTTTAATTTTTTTTCTCTGCTTAAGAGCTAACATATTATGAAGACAACTAGCAGTTCCACTAAAGACTTAGCTTCATTAGGAAGAGGCACTAAATTCTTATCACCTTTACACACCTCAACCAGCTGGTCGCTGCAAACTCTCCTTTTTAAATTTCTTATATTTATTAAGTAATAATACGTAGTCATTAGTAGGACCGATGTATTTATTTTCACTAATGCAAGCGTACGTCGTAGAGTTGAAAATCTGCAAATCATAAAGACAAAGTTTATACTATTAGACAAAATCATACATCAGTTACATTCATGCTAACTAATTAAGCTATCTTTTTTTGTTTTTGTTTTCCACTCGGTTTTGCACTTGAAGGGAGCCTAACAACAATGGTAAAGTTATCTCCGTATGATCTAGGTCACATGTTCGAATCGTGGAAGCAGTCACTCATGCTCTTGCATTAAGGTAGACTGTCTACATCACACCCCTTGGGGTACGACCCTTTTTGCGTGAATGTAAGATACTTTGTGCATCGGGCTGTCCTGCCCTTTTTTTTGTTCTGCCCTCGCCTTAGGGCCCAATTAATTCGGATTCACACAGGAAAAGTGGTAATGCGCCCCCTCCGAAGACGACTCCATTCCAAAGCTCGAACTCGAGATTTTTGACAAAAATGAAGAAATAATTACTAATCCACCATAATCTTTAATGGTTAACTAAGCAATCAAGCTAAGTAATTAAGGTGGGCTTTTATCCCCATCATTATCTTACAGCTTGCAATTTAACTCCTTTGTTATGTTTAAATCTATACAGCTTCTCCAGAACTCAAACAACGTAGTGGTAATGGGTTGTGGAATTAATTGAAAAAGATTGACAGATCAATATTTTCATTTATACGTACGAAAAGTGAGTACGTGTATAAGGAGCTCAAGGCCTAATTTGGACAATATAGTTAATGTGAAGGACAAACACCAAAAAAGGATTCAAAACTGGTGACCCCAACCAACAGCTGTAAGGGAGAAAAAAAGACCAACAGCTGTAGTATGTTAAAATCAAGTAGTATCAATTTATGATATTTTTCAACATTATTAGACAACCTTAGCGTAATGTGTCACCTTGATTCCAACTCCGCTTAACATAGCAATTTTTGTTGTTTTTAACCCATTGACCCCGCCTCGCTCCGTTGCCATCTCGAATTTAGAAAAAATTACTACTATATCAATAATTAGTAGTTCTATCGAGACGAATTCAAAATTTAAATTAACTAAGTTTAAACTGTATTTATATATCCTAGATATAAATGTATTTACTCTACGCAAAGTAATACTAATAAAAAATAAAAAATAGCGACACATAAATTCTGTAGCTAAAAAGAAAAAATTATGCCGCTAATCCTATTTAGCGATATATTAGTGGAAAATTATTAAAAAATTATGTTAGTTACGATCAATTTAGCAATAGATTGACGACAAGTTCGTAGCTTTTTCAATTTTTTGTAGGGTAGATTCTTTGAAGTCATCTTACATGATTAATTTTGAAAACAAATAATATCATGAATGAAGGACCATTAAGGATGAGTTGTACATTTCAATTTATTTTACCGTAGTAAAAAAGCAAAATGTCAGCATTGTCGATGTTAGTTAATTTCAAATAAGAAAAAGTTAAAAAGAGAGAAATTGAAGGACAAAATGGATAAGGGTAAAATTACAGAGAAAGAATGGAACATGCACCGACTGAATAACAATAATCACCCATTAGGTTTAATGTGCTAATAATTAATCCTCTTTATCATGTTTTTTTCTTTCTTTCTTTTTTTTCCCCTCTCTCTACTAATTAATCGAAATCATATGACCAAAAAAGAAAAGAAAAGAAAGATTTACAACTATATACGAGAGAGATAGTGGGTGGCCATATCCAATTACCACGTCCACGTCACAGTTATTTTTTCATTTCAGTTACTGACAGTTATTCCACATCAGCAAGAGTAAAATTCAACCAACTCATCCAATGACTCAGGTTGAGGATCAGCATTTTCAAGCATCAAAAGCAAATGTTCAAAGAGAACAACTTCACATCCAACTGTAATATATTCTTCAGAATCGCCGGACTTTTCGATGAGTTCACGGAAAAGAGGGTGGTCGACGACGTCGGAGTTTACGAGGTACCGGCGGCGTGATTTTCCCACATAGACAGGAAACACATTTTTGTTGGAGCAGTGATTATCATCGGAAAATGAATCTTCGTCGTCGGAGGAGGAAGAAGAGTGATGTGTGGCTACGACGGCGCTGCCATTTACGCGGCCGAGTTTGAAGGATTGCATTTTCTTTAACACAGATTTGAGTTTCGTTAGTTTGCCTCCTTTGGCCATTGTTGTAAGGTTAAAAATGGAAAAATTTTGAAGGGGAAAGAGAGGTTTTGAAGAGAAGAAGATGAAGGGAGAGTGAGGTTTGAGGAGAAAGTGGGAGGAAGGTTCGGATATATAAGGGAAATGGGGAAGGGTAAAATTGGAAATTTGAAATAGGCAGCAGTTACATATTTGCATTAAATTGCTTTGGCAATTGGGGTTTTGGGGG